TATGGAAATGCTAGGATGTTTTAGAAAATGAGCAAGTTGGTAACTGACTGCGTTGGCTATCTGATATCTACAGAAACTGAAAAATCCACCTGCCCTAATATTACAGTCCTTTTCAAACCTAATAGTCAGATTTTAGCAAGGGCTCTGAAGGAACGTGGAATATGAGAGTCCCCCCCACGAAAAAGGTCGTGCAAAAGACTTTTGCCACCTCATATAAACCAAACCAGATGCTGTGTTTTAAAACAGAAATATGGCGAATAAATGTTTATTATATAAAGTTACTTTTAACAACTTTATGCATATTGTTAATATTTTGTGTGGATGCATGTAGCATAAATACAATGCGTCTGGGATGGAATGAGAACAAATCCTTCACCATTTTCACATGTACTAGATACCATTCTCTGTGGTTGGCCTCCTACAATTCAAGATCACGTGGATTATTCTGATAAATTCTGTTCATTAGTTCTCAACAACATTTAATTCATGATTTGAATCTCGGCTCTAATCTGGCCAAGTTTTCAATAAAGAGGCACATTCATCAAGTCTGTTGCGTTGCAAGCAATTTGTAATACAGATCTCTACAACACACACAAAAAATCTCGTCTCTATCTCAGTCAGCTATCAAAACTTCCTTCAAAAGCAGGATTATTTAGAACTATTCAAACTATCAATTTTAATCAATTTTCCAGAACCATTCCTTTTTATGCTGCTCTACTGATTTCGTTGTATAACATGGATCATTTGGCTTTCCTGTCGGTCTTCTGACAAATTCTCATTTATTAGAATGCATCCCCATCTTCTTTTCATCGCTGAATGGCATCTTATGCCCAGCATCTGCATCCTACAGATCATGCCATTTAATGTTTCCTTCAAATACTTCTTTTTAAGCGGATTTCTTCGTTGAAATGAATTTCGTTAATTTTCTATTCATGAAGGACCACGTAAGTTATCTAATGATACCCAGTTGGATAAGTCGTACTCATCCCTCACTTGTCTATCATTATCCTTTCACTGAAAATTTCCAGTACGGATCAGTTTTCGTATAATCTTAAGCGGCGGATTTCTAAGGCGACCATAGTTTGGTCGAGTCAAAAACACTTTCTGTACTTTGAAACTTCGAGAGGATTTATGATATACCGCTTCTTGTCATTCCGAAATCCTTAGCGATTGCTCGCTGGGTCATATACTTCACCATCTTCACTGTCTTCATCTTGGTTTCTTTGGAAATTTTCGGCATGATTTCAAGTTCAGAAAGAAAGCAAGTATTCAATTTCAGAATTTACCCTATATGTAAGAAAAATCGGTTCTGTTTCGAAAAGTATTTTGCATTTAGCAGTGGAATGGAAAAAAAGTAAACAAAAAATAAGTTGGCCAAAGAATTCTACACGGCTATTTTTTTGGAAGGGGATCTCCCATCTTCTCTATTCATTTAGAGTCCTTTCTAAATATATGATAATTAGGTGAGAAAAGTCTTCCAATATAACTAAATTTTCATCTGTAGACAGCACGCTAAAAATGAACCACTTTTTGTAAAGTCTAGACAGTCACAATTGAACTTGTATTGTGAAAGAATTAAGTAGGCTTTTAGATTTATCTTCTTGTACTTGTGGTTGTGCGTGCGTGTGTGTTTGTGATCATTTCACACCCAAGCAAGATAATAAACTACTATGATGTAAAGTGTTACTGAATAGCGATTTAAAATAGTTTAAAAATTCCTAAGAATTTTGCGCGGTACTGTACTAAGTAAATAACATGAACAACGGGGAAGACATTAGTAAAACAGCAACAACAAAGAAACTTATATATAAAATCAGAAATAAAGAATTGGAATTTCTGGAACTCCTAACAAGGAAAGAGGGCCTAAAGAATTTAACACTTCCTGGTTATACTGAAGTTTAGAGTCTAACGGGTTTGTTTGGTTCGATTTGTTTTACGGTATATCAATGGGTTATTTAATGCCGACAAAATTTTTATTGTTGGTAATATGTTTTTCTTCAAAAATCTATTTCTAGGAATATTTTTCCTTGAAGAGATATAGATCTAGAGCTGGTAATGTTTTTTTTTCAAAGAATGTATAGCTGTTTGTGTTGCTGGTACTTTTTTTAAGTATTGCTGATAATTTTCCTTCAAAAATTATTGCTGGTAATATTTTTTTTATTACAAAATATTTCTGGTATTAAAACATATTTTTACACAAGTTTGGGTGTCAACTATTTGCCCATAGCTGGGACCCTAACAGGTGCTACCACCCCAGGGTCATGATGGACCTGGGAACACTAGCAATTAAGAGGTAGTTCCACGCTCCTTAAAACCTCCTGACCAGGGGCCTTGCAGTTGGGCGTAGTTTATCGTCTTAACGAGGATACGGATTGGGCATTTCGACGTGGTGTAATGGTTAGCAGGCTTGTCTTGCTAGATTTATTATGACTGAGTAGTGAGTTCAATCCTCACTGGGTGCCCCATACTTTCGGTCCCATGTCACATCTAAGCATGGCTTAGAAAATCACTACCCAGGACACGGATGTAGTTTCTCGTCATACACAGGACAGCTAACTGGCTTGTGTCAACGGATGGACAAAACGATTGTAAAGTCAAACTTTACTTACACTTACAAGGAAGAAGAAGTTTTGGTGCCATGATCCCTCATATCTTGAAGGGACACGACACATAAAAGAAAGATTATCCAGGATTTGAATATCAACAATTCCGCTACTAAATACCGTATTAAACAGTAACTGACCTTATGGGGGGGGGCTGAAGTCAATCTCAGAAAGAATTAAGCGGAATTGGTTGTCTGAATTGTCTTCGACTTACTTGGCTCTCCAATATGAACCAGATTGATTTTTTTTTTATTATATACTAGCAGTAGAGCCCGGCGTTGCCCGGGGATGTAACAGTAAGAGATAGATCAAGTATCGACCATCATAAAGACTGAAAAATAAAATTGACAAAGATTATTGTTTAAGGTTGACGGACACGCATGTCTTAATTAGTTCGTTTTTTTGGTCAAACCCAAACTCAGACAAAAACATTGTTTTCAATCGTTATGAGTCTACCGATTGAATAGAATTTTATTATAAACAATTGTCTTGTAAATGGAATTTTTAAAGCATTCTGAATGTAAAAATAAAGAAAAAAGTGTGCAAGACAATAAGAAACACTACCTGCCAAAAAAAGTGAAGTTTTGTTGAAATCGGTTGAAAAATGTAGGAAATCCGATTCCATATATAAAGGAACACACTCACACACACACAAACGACCTGGGTTTTATATTAAGTATAACTCGATATGAGTTGTCCCCCTTTCATTCTGGCGACTTAATCGTGTTTTCAAATTGATTTCGTGCAAAAACAATTGTGTTTTTCCAATTTTTTGTGCTGTTAGAACCACCACAAGGTAATTTTACGCAGTCCTGTGAAGTTTTGTTGAAATCAATTGAAAAATGTAGGAAATCCGATCCAATATATAAACGTACACACACACACACACACACACAATCTGCGTTTTATAATAAGTAAGATTATTGTTCATCCAATAAAAGACTCAAGTGCCACACAGAGTAGAGGTTTACTGAATAAGGTTGTTCTAACTTTGTTAAAGAAGAGAGTACGATGTGTATATTATGAGGATAAGTAGGATAGATAACCTCTTCAGGTTCACGAACACCAGCAACAGCATACAGTCATATCCCGTTAAGCAGCGTCAAGCCTGGTCAATACCTTGATATATGACTGTTCGTGAATAATATTACTATTATTATTATTAAATATCAAATATAAGTATGTATATTACAGCTCTCTTTTTTATCAAATATTATTTAAGGAAAATTTTTTCACAATGTCGGCAAAGAATAGCTATTTCATTTCTTTGATACAGTAATTTTTTATTTTTTATAAACCTAGTAATATATAGTTTCTCGTGTATGCACATATAGTAAATAATAGTAATATACATACTTATATTTGATATTTAATAATAATTTTTAAATTATTTAAGTAATTCTGTTACATTTGTTTGTTTTAAAAGGAAATATAGTCTATTAGTAGTTAAAAGTAAAATAATATGGTAAAATTGTAGTTCAATACAAGATATTCTAATCCAAACACCCCTTTTAGAAAGAATCTTTATGTATACAAGTATAAATTTAACGGATAAAAATGCCGAAAACCTTTTTGTCGTTTAAAAAACCAGACGACGTGCGTTGAACGGATGTCATAATTCGTTGAAAAATGCACCCGTACCCTACCTAGACATAAACTCTTTTCGAAAGTAACTCAAATTTAATACAATAGTTGTTAATAAAAATGAACACGCTACGGCCCGTGTCTAAAGGATTGGATTTCTATGTATCCTTGGAAACAAATTGTATGTGCTTTTAAAACTAAGTCAATTTCAAAATAAGTTATTCCAAAATTCGCTTGAAAATGAAAAAGGACTAGTGCTTTTAATTTAATTAAATAATCGAATTTGAAGTTGTTAGTTTCTGTTTTTCAAACATGGAAATTCTTGTGTAGCGGAGGAACCATATTTTTAAATCAGTTAATTTATATATTTATGCTCTGTAAATTTAAATTGAGCACTATTTTTTAAAAATAGAAATATCATTAAGAACACCGGATTATATATCTTACTGTTCTTTCTGTTTTTACTATAATATGTGTGTGTGTGTGTGTGTGTGAGAGAGAGAGAGAGAGAGAGAGAGAGTTACTGCCTTACTTTGTTATACTTTCTCCATCTCTGTAGTACCCACGTGATTTTCTCCCTCTCTCTATTTTCCTCGCTATGCTTCACTATCATCACTCCCTCTCTGCGTTTCCTTGTTTTGCTTCTCTCTCCATTTCTGCGTGTCTCTCGCTTTGCCATGTCATCCCCTCTGCCTTTCTCTCACTATCCTCTCGTCCTCTCTACATTTCCGTCACTTTTTCTCTTTCTAATCTTTTATTCTTATATTCAACTTCTGCTTCTACATTATATGCAAATATCAACATTTATTAAACGTCCAAAAAACGAGAAAAGAGTATCTGAAAGGTGAAGGAAAGTAAAAGAATGATGACGAAAGCAAAAATAAAAAAAGAAAAGAAATTAGTAAAAGTGAGGTAGAGAGGTCGACAACGAAGAAACAGAAAAATAATTAAAAAAAAAAAGAAGAAACAAGAAGAAAAAGGCGGCAGAAAGGCAAAAATATGAATGAAAAAAATGAAGGAAAAAAAAGAGGAAGCAAAGCGAAAAAAGATACCTGAGGAGAAGGAGGAGGAAGTAGAATAAAGAAATTATGAGATGACAGGCAAGGAAGGGGGTTAGGATGTACGTACGAGTCTTGTAATAGGGGGTGGGAGGAAGGGTTTACATAACTTAATGTCGTGCCTCTGCGAACTGAAACATCTGTTGAGAACAATTATTAGCGTTAGGAAAATTCATTACAACACGAGACGCCTAATTTTCTAAACTGGGGCAGGCGAAGCTACGTGCTTAGTCAACTAGACGAATCCAACCCCTATAACCATAATATCCTACTAATGGAAACCATATCAAAAATAATATGGCCAAACTAAAGAATATCAGAATAAATCACCTGAATCACTCCTAGGACACTGGTGAGGGTTGCTAGATAGCGTCATGGCTCATCTGGTAAATATATTTGATACTCTGATTTATAAATTAAAAAAAAAAAAACTTGTATCCAAAACAAGACATTTAAAGCCACTAAGTCGCAAGGGGTTATCGACAGTGAAAGAACATGAAAAAAAAGAAAAATATGAAGGAGAGAGAACGACAAAATAACAGGAATTAAGATAACAATCCACATTGCATTTATACTTTGAAGATCAAAGTCGATTGGAAAGCAAAAAGCTGGCTGAGTTAAATTTCTACACCTTCCCCGATAGGTAACTTGTAATTTGGGTTGACTTTTGCTGACAACAATATATTCAGTCTTCTTATAGTTCATGATTTGTCCTTTTTTACTGCTATCCTCGTCTACATTGTTTAATAATCCTTTCAGTTTTCTTAATCTGCCATCAGTGCAGTGTCATCTATGTAGTGTATGTTGTAAAATCTAGAGAGTTACAATTGAACTTATGTTGAGAAATAATTAAGTAGGGTTTTAGATTCAACTTCTTGGACCTGTTGAAGGTGTGTGTGTGTGTGTGTGTGTGTGTGTGTGTGTGTGTGTGTGTGTGTGTGTGTGTGTGTGTGTGAATATGAGAGTTGCTTGTGTTAAGTAATAGTCTGTCAGACTATTATTTTTATTAAAAAATGTATTTTTCTCTGACTTCCTTATTTTGACCTTTGAAGTCAGATACAAGAAAACAAGCAAAGTCGTTTTAGATTGGTTAAAACTAACGTGGGAATATTAGAGAGGTAGAAAAGAATTTCAGGGAGTTTAGTTTTTACGTGTAAAAGAGAGCAGACGTGGTTATTTCGTGTCTCAGGAAACTTGCTCCCTAGTGGGAGTGATAGAGTGAACACACTGGCGAGTTAAAAATGTACACGTCGACGTAAGTTTAAAATTCCTTTTGTTACGTCTCTTTCATTTTTGGACTCAAGAAACATTTCGACACCCGGCCGGGAGAAGACGAGCGAGAGAAGATACAACATTATGCAATCGATCCCGTCAACCAAAAAAAACCCAGAACGAGGGTGGGGGGCTATGCAACAGATGGTTGATTTTGCTTAGTGGTCTATCAACCTGTATAGGGTATTTAATGTCGTTATCTAAGTATTTTGAACGTAGTTGTAGGTCTTCAACTACTGATAAAATGTATTGTTGGTAATTTTTTATATATATATATATATATAAAATGTTGGTTGTAACTTTATTATAAAAAATCTTTTTTTATACTTTCATGGCGTGTGTTTTTTATTTTTGTTTGCGGGTTTCACTATTTTCTCATAACGGGGACGCTAACAGGGGCTTACCAAACCGGGTCTGGTGGGGGTACCTAGAAACAACAACAATTAAAAGGGGGTTCCATGCCATCCCCAAAACATCCAATATCCAATCAGAGGCCCTGCTGCCGAATGTAGTTTATGGTCATACCCAGGACTAGAATATGAGAAAAAAAAATGAAAGAAAGAAAAAGAAAAGAACAGGAATTAAGAACACAGATGAAAAAGATTGACATTACATTTGAATTTTTTGAAGATGAAAGTTGATTGTAATTTTAAGGAGTGAAAAAAAAAAGGTCAAATAATTATTGTCCATCATTCTATGGCAATAAAAAACGGCCAGAGCTGGCTAAGACTAAAGCATAATGTGGCTTCAGAGTTGCTCGCGGGAATTACATGCAGAGACACCTATCCATTCACGACATGGTACTACTTTCTACAAGCTTGCAAAGAGTTCGGGATTTTTACTACTAATTGGAATCCAGCAACCAGAAAACTGCCAACCCCCTAACCCCAAAATTAAAAAAAAATCACAGCTATTGATCATTCAGGTTACCAAAGACCTAGGACATCAAGACCGTAGAAGAAAAGAACCGATAAACCACATCCTAAATAGGAAACCTCTACTTCTGAATTTTACGTGTGGAAAAGTGTCGTTATATTAATGTATTATTTAATGTACGAATATATTGAATATGCGGTTTATATGTAGTTTATAATAATAACTTATTAGATTCTTTTTCAGCGTCCCGGGGTAGCATGTATTCCGGCAATACTTTTGCAAAAAGTACAGGGTGGTCCGAAATTCTTGTCACCCCTACATAATATAATTTTCTATTTCAGATGGCTGACATGAAAATGATGATGTTCATACAGACATTCTCGATGGGTGACAGCGTCAATGAAGGTAAATAAACTGCATCCAGTACACGTGCTTTGTATTATTGTATCACTTGTTCTTCTATTCACATTATCTTTGGTCGGGTGACAAGACTTTCAGACCACCCTGTACTTGTAAAAATTGAAGATGTGGAATTAGTACATACCAAATACTTCAAATACACAAAAGTATGGATCCGTTATAACAAAGTTAGTATAGGAAATAAGGAAACTGGACATAGAAACGGCTGCGCTAGAGGTAATTTCATCAAACACTGTAAAATGTTATGAAAATTAACCTAAAAACTCGAATCTTATAAATAGATAGACTCGTCATATCGAAATTTCCATTTAGATATTATGCATGGTTCCAAATTTGTTCAGAAATGTATAAACTGTTAACTGTATGAAAGCATTTTCTAAGAAACAATGGGTGAAAATGTCTTCGAGCGAATAAATTCTTACCGAGGACAATTCTTCGTGCAACATTTTGGACTTGTGCTACTGAATCACAAAGAACAGTACCAAATCTTTCAACAGATAAAATGAGTATCATATGTAATTCAAAGAGAAAATAAAGACATCATGAAAATGGTGACATTCCACATTACTTCAAACAAAAGGTTAGGAAGGAAGACCACATCAATAAAAGATAGAGTAATAACAGTGAATTGAAAAACAGATGTTTTAACAATAATATTTTATAAATCTCAAGTGACAATTGTATTCTTGGGTGTCTAAAATCGGAGACATCTGCGCAAATATTTTCAGCGTTCTTTTGTTTATATGTAATATAAAATATTATATATAATCGTCGGCTCCCAGTCGTGTCCGTGTATCGGGTTCTGTCAATCATTTAAGTCCTATCTTCACGGTTGATGTTTATGTTTGACATGATTTGCGAAGTCCAGTCGGTGGTGGAATAGTCGCGGACAGTGCTCACAGGGGAGGGGAGGGGGAGGAGGACGGGGTCGTTCACAGCGCTCTCTTCTCCTTCGTCGCCTTGCCTCTTCATTCTCCCTCCTCCTTTCCTCGAAGTCCGCGATGCCATCGCGTATTGATCTCCTCCACGTCCCTGGCAGTTTCTTCCCACGAGGACGAGCTGACGTTGGTAAGTGTCAGGGTGCGCTTTAGTTGGTCCTTGTAACGCCAGCTCGCCATATATGATTTTCTTGGGGAGCCTGGGAGGATCCATCCTGTGAACGTGTCCTGCCCAGCGGAGGCGGTGGTAAATGATAGTGGCCTCGACGATGCTCACTGAGGCTCTGTCCAGCACTTCTGTATTGGTGGTGTAGCTCTCCCAAGAAATGTTAAGGATTTGCCTTAGTTTCAGTTACTGGAAGCGTTTTTACCTCGCTTCTATATAGGGTACATGTTTCGCAGGCGTATAAAAGGGTGGAGAGGACTACTGCCCGGAAGACCAGGATTTGGGTTGCCATCGTCAATGCGTGGTTTTTAAATATGCGGCAGTTGAGTTGGCCAAAGGCGGAGTGGGCTGCCCTGATTCTATTCTCTACGTCCTTTCTGCATGTGGGTGTTGATGTCAGAATCCTCCCCAGATACGAGAACTGATCTACTTGCTCCAGCAGTTGGCCATTGACAGTGGTGTTAGTGTTTGGGAGCGGCAGTCCGGGTGGTGGTTGAACTAATAATTTGGTCTTTTCTGTGTTGACCTGCATCCCAAATCGTTCATAGGCCGTGTTGTATGCGTCCGCTAGTGACTGGAGGTCCTCTGCAGTCTGACCTGGGGTGGCATTGTTATCAACGCTCTCGTACCGAACACATGGTGGTTTTGGATCTGGCATCCAAGCGGTAACAGAGGTCAATTGAGGGTGTGTCTGGTGGTATCTCATTTAGCATTGCTGCTGTATATAGAGAGAAACACGTTGGTGCCAGAACACACGCCTGCTTTAGGCCACCAGTAATGGGGAATGGGCCCTAGAGGGAGTTCTGGTGGCATACTCTCCCCATCATTCCCTCATACAAGGCGCGCACCAGGGCGACAAAGTCGGGTGGGCAGCCAAAGCTAGTAAGGTCTGCCCACATAGCAGGTCGGGGGACTTTACCGAAGTTCTTTTTGGACCTATCTAAAATATATACCAAATACTATGTATAATATATATCAAATATTATATATAATATATAATATAAATGAAATATTATAATATAAAATATATAATATATATCAAATATTATATATATATAATATAGATATATATCAAATATTATACATAATATATATATAATATATAATATTATACATAATATAATATAAAATATAAAATATTATACATAATATAAAATATTATCCATAATATATATATATATATATATATATAAAATATTATACATAATATAAATATATATATATATATATATATATAATATAAAATATTATACATATATATATATATATATAAAATATTATACATATATATAAGGTATATATATATATATATTATACATATATATGTATAATATAAATATATATATATATATATAATATAAGATATTATACATATATATATAATATAAAATATACATATATATATAATATAAAATATTATACATATATATCTAATATAAAATATTATGCATATATATATATATATATAAGATAAAATATTATACATATGTATATATATAATATAAAATATTATACATATGTATATATATAATATAAAATATATATATATATATATATATATATATATATATATATATATATATATACACAATAATACTTAGTTCACAATTGTCTTTTTTAAAGCGGTTAGTAGAAATTTTAATAAAAACGTACTTGATATAAATAAATTTGGTCGAACGAAATATATTTGTTAATTCTTTTATTCATTTTTTTATTACATATTTCGATTCATTTTCCTGATTTCCGGCGAAAAAAGAAATTGTTTGATTTCTGATTATTTCTGTCTTTCATAAACAATTCAAATATAGTTTTTGTTGAAACAATTGTTGACTATATGCATGCATTGTTATGACATTTTTACTTTTTTAATATCGCATGTTTGGAACAAAAGAAATTGAAACACTTAATTCAAAGTATGAACACTGCTTTTAAATACAAAATACTTCTCATAAAGACTATAGTAATATGTCCGTACTACATACGTCCAGGAAACTTTATTTCCAAATGTGTGTGTGTGTGATATTTGCTTCCGAAAATAAATTAATTCGCTCGAGCTCTGCGCGTATTTGTAAACGATGATTATTACTGCTTATAATACAAGATTCTCCCAATGGATTGAGTCCTCTAGGCCATTGGCGTATTTATCAAAAAATAAATACGCAAAAATTCGCCTTTCTCTCTGCCCAGCATCGATAGCCTATGGAAGTGATCCATGTCTAGACACACTGAGCTGTGATACAGCGAAACACTGTTGATGATGACCAATATATATATACACACACACACACACACACACATATATATATATATATATATATATATATATATATATATATATATATATATGTGTGTGTGTAAGCAAATATATGGATATAGATCCGACATTATGAAGAAAAATATACGGAAAAACAAACAAAAATCCTAATATGCAATTATGCTGTTTTAATGTTAATATAATGTCAACGTCGGAAAACGTTTTCACAACATCGCCCACGTGACGACAACGTGATCATATTTAAACGGAACGCTGATCTTATAAAAGATTTCAGTTATCTGTTTGGATTGGTATTGCTTTATGTCCATCGTCTTTTTCATGTTGAATTGTATATGGTCTATGTTAATTATGTTTTATGAATATGTCCTGAAGATGGTCTATCTTTGTTTTTTCCGTATATTTTTATTATATATATATATATATATATATATTGCTTATACTTTGGTAGCCTGTTTCATTAAATAATTAAATTAATAAAATCATTAAATAATTTAGACAAGTTTTGTCTACTTATTTTTAATAGGATCCTACAGCTGTGTGTGTGTTTAAATATAATAATTGTGCAATGTGCCACTTCTTTATCTGCCGTGTCCCCTCAAGATATAGCGATGATGGCTCTCCACAACTTCCTTTGTAGCTCTTTATAAATTTTGTCTTTTTGTTAATTTCTAAAACCCTGTTCAGCTATCCATTTGCTCAAGCTCATTAAGTATATTGTGCGTTGTTTTCCTCTGTCCCCCAATCTGTGCTGTGAGTATCAGATTTTCCAAGCCCTCATTCCTCATTTGCCCCATAAATTTTTACTGTCTCTTCCTGGTGTTAAGTACGTTTCTTTTATGGTTCTATTTTCTCTAAAACCTCATCGTTGCTCATATATTCAGTCCATGGTATCCTCAGTATCGTTCTGTAGAATTACACTTCTGTTGCTTGAAGTCTCTTCATCTTTGTGTGGGACTGTCCTGCATTCACTCTCATACAGGAGGACAGTTAATGCCTTAAAGATAAAGAGCTCGATGCAAAATGTTAGACAAAATACAGAACCTAAAGTATAACAAAGTTGCTTTCGTACATGGTTCTTTCTTGCTACATGAGGATTGTAAAATTAGCGGAAGCATTATATGTGCATAAAATGTTATATATGTAGGCAGCAAGTATTCATCCAAATAAGTTTTATTAAGTTCAACAGTCCCCTTTAATTGTTACGCACGCCTTCGCTGTAGATGTTTTCAAATTGTTATCTCTCTATAAAGTGTAAACGATAGAATCTTGCCTGAAACACTAACTGATGAGGACTGAAGCGGTCGAAAGTTCCTGAACAAAAACAGAACAAATATGGACGACGGAGAGTTTATTTGTTAGTTACATTCCATCATCGCCGTTCGGACACTGAACTGCCACTATCCACGATGAATGCATGACCCCTCGGGAAGGCTCCGTGCTTTGAATGACTATTGGGCCTTAAAGTCACGCCTGACCTCAAATCGGACTCATATATACGATCCATCGCTAAAGATGGAAAAAAAATGGTTGGCTCTCTATATCACTCCAATGAGTACCTGACTTCTCATACTATCCTCTACCTTTACAAGTAATAGAGTACGTTTCTCATATTTGAGCGGGGGGGCTCGAGCTGCCTGGTTCTCACTTTCTAGTCCCAATAATGTCCAAAAGCGTCTCCGAGTTCTTATGGGTGACAAACTATTTTCCACCCTCCAACCTCTCTCACGGTGTGGCAAGTCTTTCCCTGCTCTATAGCTACTTCTAGGAGAAATGCACGAACGAACCACATTCCTTGGATCCTCCAGTTCTAAGCTTTACGTCTAGGACTCGCCATGGCACTCACATTGTAGCAAACCACCCACATCCCCTCAGTGTCACATTGCTGAGAAGTTCCACTAGAACAGCTTCTTCCCACGAATCACTGCTCTGTGGAACCTATTCTCAAGATTAGGTTTCCTCTAATCAATGCAATCTTAACCTGTTAAACCGTATGGTTATCCGATATCTTCTCCTATACGCAGGAACTACGTCTTAATGTAACCCTCTATTTCGAGTGGATCCGAGCTTTTATAGAGAACCACATTCTAAAAAATCGATACCGATATCTTATTCAGAAATGGGAGAGAAAAAAAAACTTCAATAGACAGCCCTTGTCGGTTGAATTCAGTAAGCATTGTATTATGGTCCAGGTTAGGACCAAGGAAGAACAACACAAACACAAGAGTAGAAACAACGAAGGTATATTACACGAAATAATAATACAAGATGTGGAAGGTGTTAGTATGACTGTCAGTCTGGTTTGGAGTGAACTACTATCGGTTCGACTCAATTCGGTATCTATCCCCCCACCACGAGGGTTGCATATGGCACAAGGCCGAGTTTAACATGGGTTTCCCGAGCCCGTAGGTTCGGCCAAAAAATGCCGTAGAAACTGTATAAACAGAATCGGTTTGGTCAACATCCCCAAACGAGGCTCTGCCCTTCGGCAGAGGTTCCTCTCTGCTCAGAGGCAGAGAGTTCGACCGTCAAGCCGAGAAGCTCGACGATTCGTCCCTCTCTCTCTTGAGAGGCGTAGTATACATAGTATTAGGAAGAGTTCATTCTGTAGTTATAGGTAAAGACCCATGTCCCTATATATATATATATATATATATATATATATATATATATATATTTTGTTCTGGCAGTTGTCCTCGTCTTTATAGTGATATTTTGTACGCTCCGGCCTTCTTCAGGTGATATACGTTGGAATTTCGAGACGAACACTTTTCTT